GTTGTTATAGTTACAGATATATATATATATATATATATATATGCTTTCACAGTTTATTAATGATTAATATTAATGATTCACCGTTAGTTCTGTTGAATATGGAGTTAGCAAGGAGAATTGGGCTTATGTAGTGGGATGTTGACTAGTAGCTGGTAGCACTTTCCAGATCTCAGATGATGAAAGATAGGTTGCACGAGAGTTCATGGAAACGTTGTCCTTGGGGATGTTGAAGTCCAGCAGAGCTCCTCTTCTCTCTACTGCTGCCTTCTGAGGAATGCCCTGGAGTGGGCTCAAGAGCTGCCTTAGTCCAAGTCAAGTTTTTTGATTTGGATTTGTACCCAAATCAGGACATATTGGACCAGACCTCTTTATCTTCATAAGGGACATGTTTTTTTAAAGTCCTAAATCATCTCTTTCAGAACTAAAAGTGACCTCTGGTATTTTCTGTCCCTTTTCTTCATTTTACAATTGGCAACTATGTGGGGGGTGAGAGTGAGGGTGGGGAAGAGGCGGGGTGGAAATAGACCAGGGAGAAAAAAACAATGTGTCCATGACAATGCAATTATTAAGGGAAGAGCTAGATTTAGGTAGAAATACATTTTGACTGGCTCCTACCTAAAAGACTATCCAAATGGCAGCTGGAAGTTCCCAGGCCATCAAGAGATCCCGAAGCCTGGAGTCTTTGCTGGGATTAGACAGCAGCTGTATGCTAGACCTTCCTTTTTAAATGATCATGGTTGCCCCTGCAGGGTCTCTGCCCACACTGTCGAGCAGCCAAGAGCTGCGGATGATCCCCACCCCAAGGACTATCGCAGCATCAAAATGTAACCTGTATAATTAGAACATACCTTCGAGAGGGGGAAAGCATGCACAAGATAAAGGACTTCTTTAAAACAGATTTCCCCCAACATGTTGTCCCCCCTCATAAATATAGTTCTCAGAGCTTATGGTGATAGGAGACCTGGATACTTCAGAAAAATTAGGAGTCTCATTAGGAGAGGGTTTCCTAAGAGTGACACACAGCCCTCTTTTAGGGCTGAACAGAGAAGCTGGAGCAGACACTTGTAGTCAGTCTGATGGCTTCAATAATGATGGCCGGAGCCAGAGATGTTAATTAAAAACAGTACATATGTGTTGGAGATGTCATTCTCCCACTAGTCCCTAGACATTTGAGTTTGAGGAGATAAAAACAAGTGAATCCAGTGCAGATGTGCATAGAAACCACTGAGCCATAACTAGCGTTCCAGCCTGAAAGTACCTCTATGTCAAAATGTTCTTCTCAAGCAAATGGTTCTCTCTGTCATCTTCCCAGTTTATGGCAGTTGCCAGAACCAGAGAAGAAGGGCTGTGGGGAGCACAGAGGAGAGAAAATCACAGTGCCATCCTAGTTCATATATAATCGCAGCCTATTATTTTACAAATAACCTTCATCATGCATAAGGTCCCAGGGATATCCATGGGATGGTCCTCACCCACCTCAATCCATCTTGTTAATGGTTTTGACTTAGGGCTTTTTCAAACCACCAAATGCCTATTTAAGGAGCAATGGCATTCCAACTGTGCACACAGATCGGAGTCTCCACACAGGCGACTCTTGCTTTAAGCAGTTGTAGGCTGTTGGCGTTGAACAATTCTCAGTCATTGCTAGCCAGACCACCTTCATCCCCAGGCAGACACCAGCAGCTGGCTTTCATTTTGGTTGTTGGCTGTCAGGTGGCCCCTAAGTCTTTCTGCAGCAGCCTTCTGCAGACCTCTCTTGGAAGCATTTCATTCAAAATGACAGCTCCTCACCCTTTAGAGTTGGGATCACCTCACTTAGTAATGGGATTGAGCATGCCTCTCCTACTAAGCCCAAATTTAGATGGACTAAGGTTCTCCTTAGGCCCCTTGACGCCTGCTCTCTGATGGGACAGAGCTGCCAACAACTTTACGTAACACTGTGGATGGTTTGGTGGTGATGTCTGAGAAGGGCATTTCTACAAGAGCAGGAGAAGACCCCAAGTGAAAAGCAGTGGGGTCAGTTTTGGTTGGAGTGACAGGCAGCCTAGGATACAATTGGCATAATCTGGCCCTGGCTTCTCTGTCAGCATCTCTGTTTTCTGTCACCACACACGATTCCAGGCCTGCCTGGAGCCCTGACAGTGTGTCTTCAGCCCAGGCTATCGCCAGCACAGAGACCTGTTCTTCCCACCACAGAGGCCCTTTGTTTGAAATCTGCCCTTCTGTCATTAGCACACTTGATGTCTACTTAAGTCTGACTGGGAATACGATATCTGTTTTCCTGTCAAGAGATCACTGGCAATATGGCCTTGCCTCATTTTTGAAGTGCTGACACCTAGCTGCAGTCTCCTGCATTCACCACACAGTTCTCTCTCACCAGAATATCTATAAACACCCTTGCTTCCAAGGCCAAAGAAGCAAGAAAGGCCTTAAAAAGTGGGTTTTATCAATGCAGACCACAAGGAAAGCCTAGTAAATGTGCCTCATAACACTTCAGCCCTCTGGATCACTAAGCATGTTCTAGGAACATCCTGTTTCCATGATAGCAATTGTCACCCAGGTTGTGCATGGAGAGAGGTTAGAACAAGGAAATTAAAATCCCTGAACACATTGGAGAGTTTACTGGAGAGGATGTGTCCACTGTTACGGTGTGTGTGTGTGTGTGTGTGTGTGTGTTTCTGCTTTTCATTCTTCTATTCAAGAGAAAGACTGTGTTCTTCATGATATCTGATAGCCCTGTCCATTCTTCTTCTATAAATGTATGCTTTCCTAGTCCCACAGAAAGACATGAACATCCCTCGGCTCCAGTCTTCCATATTCTTGAGAGTTTATTTGAAACAATAATGTTGAAGGAAGTTCCTTGTGGATTTTCAAATATATCTGAGACTCTCACAGCCAGACTGTAGAGGATGTCCACAGGGCAGAGCCAGACCAACCAAGCTGGCAGACTAGGATCCAAGCAATGATGACAATAATAGTGTAGCCCCATATGCTACATAATCAAGGGAACAGCTTAGTGTCAACAGCTCCAAAGCATAATTGGTGCCCCAAGAAGTAGCTCAGTTGAGGTTTCATCCACGTGCAGTGTTTCGAGGCTCTGTACCACTACTGCAAACCAGAAATTGAAAACTGGGGACCAAGGATCAATGATAGCCAAGGAAGAACAGTCGCCCACTGTCAACTGACTCTGAGAAACATGGAAGGAGAAGGGGATTAATGAGAGTAAGCTCACTGCTAGTTTTGAGGTCATGAAAACTATGTAACTCTTCCTGTTGACATCTCTGTACCATTCTATAATTCCAGCAATTTCCAACTTTGTCCATACAAAACAATGAGCCTGTGCCCCATTGAGAATTGTTTAAATCATTATTTGAGAACAAATCTTAAAACTTTAAATTGAGGTTGTTTTTTTTTCTATCACACACACGCACACACAAGTAAATACTGCTTAAAACTTTTGATATGAAGAACCTGAATAACTCTAAGTGTTAATGTATCCCAAATTAACAATAAATAGTGCTTGTTGCTTTCACACTCTCAAACTGATGGAAAAAATAATTATGCATATCGTTAGCTATTTTCATAGGCTGATTTGTGGTGCATGAATTAATATAGCAGAGGTATTTTTTAATGGACATTTCTCTTCTCCGGCTTCTCTAGCTATCCGCATATACTTCAGATACTCAAATCCTGTTAGTAATGAGACAACCCTGGGCAGTTGAAGGTTGTTAGTTTTCTAAAATTAGAAGGAAACAAACAAGGTGGCAAAAAGTAAACCAAAGTTATAAATATTTTCTTGGAAAATGGATTTTTCCTCAATACTTTTACCTATCAAGCATTTATAATAACTATGGCAGATGGTTTCTTGTGTTTATCATAAATAATATCCTTATTAAAAAATTATACCATATACAAGATGTGTTTTTTAATAGTTAAATCCTCCAAAATTTACTTGCTATAGAGGAAAGCTTTATTTGGAGCTACAAAATAATTTGAAATTAAACTGAACTAAAGATAAAAATCAGATGTATTTTAATGCATATAAAGAGCTCAAGAAGAATGTGATAAACCATTTATAAATGTTGGGGCTCTTATTACCTTCCTTATGGCATTTTGTCAACAATAACAAGTCTTCCTTAATCATCATGAATGTATATACTTGATGGCTTCCTTGGTTTGACAGTTCTCTCTCAAAACCAAATTCACCATCATTGAGTCAATTCTAGGTCATTGCGACCCCATAGGGCAAGGTGGAACTGCTCTCTGAGAGTTTCTGTGACCATAACTCTTTACAGGAGTATTAAAGCCCCACCTTTTCTCCCACAGGTGCTCACTGAAAGGAGCAATATTGACTCTTGTTAAAGTACTTCCAATTAGTAACAAATCTGGAAAGATTGCTCCACATCGTGTGCTTGAGTTGAATCTTTTGACTCATAGTGACCATACAAGACAGAGTAGAACTGCCCCTTCGGGTTTCCACAGCTGTAGTCTTTTCAAAAGTAGACTGCTACATCTTTCTCCTATGAAGTCACTATTGGGTTAGAATCACCAACTTTGATTAGCAACTGAGTACTTAATAACTCTACCAACACATCTTCATGGTCTAGCCTTAAACTCCTATTGTTATTGTTCTAATTTTAAAAGCCCTAGGGTAAACTCTTAATTTTTAAAAGAACCTTTTAGGAACCCTAGCAAATCTAGGCTTAGATGCTGTCTTTGGGGAAGTAATTGGCTAATTGAGAAATGTCCCTAAAAATTGGAAGGGAAAAATGTTATGACTGGGAACTTAGAGCCTATAATCTGCATCAACGGTGTGTATGTCTATTTAAAGGCAAGACAGTAGTCTTTTCCATTGGCCACTTAGTTCATTTCTGGCACCCATGGAACTGGGACTGTACACGTTCCTGCTTTGTAACACCAGTGTTTCCTTGCTATACCAATTGTACCACCTGTAACCATTTGTTTTCTGTGTTTTTGTTTGTTTTTCTTTTCTTTTATAGGTGTTCTGGGGAAGTGCCACTACATCTACCAAGGAAAAAACTCCGAGGGCAACAGGTTCATCCAAGATGACCAGCTCTGAAATGTGCCTTAATCTCTCCAATGAGAATGAAGTCAAAGGGAAAGCAGAAATAAAAAGCTAAAGAAAAAAGATTGCCCAAATTTAATTTCTGTGTGATGACTTTGGCGTTTGGTCCCTTCCGCTGACATTGCCAGCCCTGTCAAGCCCATGCTTCGCCCTTAGACTGAGTGGCCGCATAGAGACTGACATGATTGCCCTTAAGCAGGTCTCATCCACCAGGGTGACAGCCAGTGGCAGTGAAGTACCAGAGTTGACAGGACGAACACTATGATAGATTGTCTGGTCTCTCCACTGCTCAAAGGGGAGCAGAGGTCACACCTGGGGCCTCTCTGAGCATGCTCAGTTGACTCTAGTCAAGTGAAGGACTCCTCTCTTCAGATTACACGTTGAATATCAGCACTCTGATACCATTGTGCTGTGGGCTTATTGAAGTAAAATATTTTCAGTTTAGGGAAAGAGCACTCTCCCTTCTTCCTGTTAAATCTTAATTTATCTGGTTGATGTCTGCATACGATTTTCCCCACATCCTCTATCAAAGGCAGTAGGTTTCCGTTTGAAGTTTCTCTGAGTAGTGATCAAAACTCACTGCACCCCGTCAATGTCAACTCCAAGCAATGCTGGAGGACAGAACAGAACCGCCCTTGTGAGTTGCTGAGACTTCATTCTTGACAGGTTGTGTGTTGGGCTGCTAATCATAAGTTCAGCAGTTTGAAACTACCAGCTGCTCCTCAGGAGAAAGACATTGCTTTTCACTCCCATATAGAATCTCTCTGAGAACAGGAAGTTCAAATTCTCAGCTAGGTCATATGTTAGTAACCGGCTTCATGTTATCGCAATTCTTATATTGGAGTAAATGTTTTGTTAGTTGCTATGGAATTGCCTCTGATTCACAGTAATGCAATGTATGACACAACAAAATGTAGCCTGGTCCTGTACCACCTTCATGATCATTGGTATACTTGAGCCTACTGTTTGAATTTATTATTTGAACTCTTCATTGCTTGGCTATCTTTCAGCCCAGCAGAATCATTTTCTAGCACTACATCAGAAAATTTCCTGTTGTGATTCCTAAGATTTTCACTGGCTAATATTCAGAAGTAGATCATCAGGCCCTTTTTCAGAATTTGTCTTCATATAGAAGTTCTGATGAAACTCATCTGCAATGAGTGACCATGCTGGTATGTAAAGCACTGATGGCACAGCTCCCAGCATCAAAACAATACACAGCTCCTACAGTAGGACAAACTGACAGGCAGGGTGGTAAACTACAACGCTTTCCCGAGCTCCCAGACTACGAAGCATGAACTTTCCCTCATTCCATTTATTTCTAAATATACTTCTTGCCTTGAATATATTGCAATATGAGCAACCTTTCCAAGAACAAAGATTAGATGGCACCAGGGACTTACTTTATTTTATTTTAACCATACATATTTCCTACTGGACATATATGCGTTTGAAGTTGTCTTACTCCTTTGAGTGTTATTTAAAGATAGTGATGTGATGGAAGATAAAGTGATAGTTCAGCAGGTTAAAAAAATAGAAAATAGCAAACAGACCACTTTTATAGAAGTTACAGACTCTGAATGTGGTATCTTTCTCAGGACCTCTTGGAAATTAAATTGATAGCTTGGGAGATGGTACTACTGTATATCATTCACATCCTTGGCTGTGTTCTACCATGAACATTACATGGATGATAAACATGATCGTACTATTTTAGTGACTAATTTTAATTAACTTTCTGGTGTACAAATAAACTAATTCTAGAATATATTTTAAAAGGTTGTTTGTTTTAAACACAATAGCATTTATCTTTGCTTTTAAATATATTTATCAAATGTTCTTTCTCCTGGTTCTCTGGTACTGGGCTAATTTAAAAATTCACTGAAAAATTCATTGCCATCAAGTCAATGCTGACAAATAGCCAGGATAGCCAGGCCTAAACACACTATATAACCTCAGGACTAGAGAGCTGCTATTGTAAAAGTCTATGCAACTTAGAATCCCTGAGCTTCTCAAGTTCTAGTTCAATCCCTTTTGGCTCAATTCTAGTCCAACTTGCACAGCCTCTAGTCTAAGGAGTTAGAATGGTCCTTGAATTGCATTCATTGAGGCTGGCAGGAGCCTTGCATATAGATTGTGCAATGTTCAGTAATCAGTTATTCAGACAAGTTTAGATAGAAATCCTCAGACAAGTAATAATTAGAGTATATGGAATGCTTGCTAGCCTCTCTTTCAGTCTTTAATAACAAGATTTGAGTACCTTTTCTTTATTTGACCTGAAAAACAGCCCTAGGACAATGTATTAAATAGCTGCATTAGGTCCCACAATGACCCTTTCTTTAGAAGCATCAACACACGTTTTGAACATGGCATATTATGGGCAGCCAAAGTTCTGTGCAAGGGCAGTTAGATTAGTCAAATGTCATATCCAATCTAGCAGCACATATATTCTAGTCTTTATAAAAGGCTTTAAGCTTGCCTTAAATAATAAAAAAGAACTTGTGAACTGACCACAGAATTTTTCCATCTTTATTTTTCTTACTTGTTTACTTTTCTTAATGTCAGAAACATTTGTATCATACCCAGGAATGCTCCCTCACTGTAAGTTTTGGAGGCAAAAAATAATTTTGGAGCAAGTTATTGACCACATTGTTTTCCTCGTCTTAGATTCTTTATTTTCTTCCAAAATGGAGCCATACATTAAGATTAATTTTCCTTGTAATTTACCTAAAGGCCATCACTAATCTATATTCATTGTAATGCTAAAATTGTAGTGACTCTTGTTTCATGTATAAAGGAATAATAGTGATGAATTAGTGCTGGCTTATTTAAAAGTATGCTGTTTGTACCACAAGTTTTTCTGTATAAATGAAACTTTGGTCTGAATTGGCAGCGGAGGAAGTCATGTTTCATGTTTATCTGAAATCAGTAGGAATTTCCCAAACTTCATTTTTCAAAGCAGAGGTTGACAAGAGCCTGCGACACTTTGCTTCCTTTGTTTTCCTGGGGATCAGTGCAGTCAAAGCACAGACATCTTTCATATACCTCTACTTCGTCGTCTTTCTTCCTTCTCCCCTTTTCCTCTGATTTTTTCCCTTGGGGATAATCCTGCCCAATATTCCAGTTTGCCCTTCCCCAGGACCTGAGGTTTTATGATTTTGCTCTCGTGGATTCAGGGATATTAATAAGAAGCCAGGCAGAATGGTTGTTGCCCCAGCAATGCCAGCCTAACTGTCTCTTTCTAGGTATCACAATGTTATACAATTTGTTCCTTGAGAATTATTGTTTTAGGTTGTGGTGAATCTATTAAAAGTACAACTATTGAAATCATTTGCTTCTACCAGCCATGCTCATAAAGTCTCCATCAGCTTGTTGCTTTAAATAGCAGTGCATTATAAGAGATTATCACTTGATCAGGCTTCATGCCTTAGTGGTGTATGTTTTCACATATTCACGCATACTAAAGTTTTTTTTTTTTTGTTTTGTTTTCAGAAAAATGGCAAACCACAGATTCTAAATGAAAGGATTTTTTTTTTATTTCTGGGTTTTTTTTCCCCCAGTAAAGATTAACTTGCACATTTTCTTAGGGAAAATATCTTTGTTACTGTTATGAGAAATAAGCAAGCTGTCATTCTTTAATCTACAGATCAAAAATAATTCACAGGGCTCTTTTTATCAAACAATAACAGTATTCAGTATTTGCTACACAGTACTTGCTATAGCACTTGTTACAAGGGCAACCTAAGTCAGATCTTCAGCACTGCCTAATTCCCAGGGTGACTTTTGTATGTTGAGGCTCACCTATTGTGATGGTTAGCTTTTATACCTACCATGCATACTTGGGCGAAGGTAGGAGTTGAGAGTCAATCAAATCTCAGCCTAATGCCATCTCCTTGAAAGGTGTGGCCTTTTATACAAGAGAGGCCCTGCGTAGAACTGAGCTCCTTACTTCTCCTTTCGCTGCCTCTGAAAACTCTGTCTGGTTCATGGATCTCCTATAGCATCACCTGCCAATCCTAGGAGTCTCATTGGATTACCCACATTGGATTCATTTGAATGACCTCAACTCAGCATCCATGAACCTGTGCCCCACCCTACCCCCACTTCATCTTCCTGCTTCAACTTCCTGCTTCCTGTTCATAAGCTCCTGCAGCTACACAAGTCAAGAGAAGCTTACATGTGAACTATAGACTGGAACCAGACTGAACGTACCTACTTCTACAGCTGGGTAAATCATTTCTTGATAGAAATACTTTTCTATACACGCATACACACAAGTGTTACTGGTTGTACTTCTCTAAAGAACCCAACCTAATGCACCCGTGTTGTATCCATTGTACTTGACCCGATGGAAGTTTTCCCAGTCTGTATCTTCCAATTATATTTCAAAGAAAAAGCCTTCACCAGAGGGTTGGTTGTCAAGGATTTCATATTGCTTAGATCCATAATCAATACTCATGGAAGCAGATCAAACCAAAAATTACATGCGGTAAATCAGCTGCACATAGCCTTTTTGCAGTGTTGAAAACTCAGGAGGTTACTTTGATGACTAAGGTGCACCAGACCCAGTTATTTTTTTATTTTATTTTATTTATTTTTTTATTTAACATTTTATTAGGGGCTCATACAACTGTTATCCCAATCCATACACACATCAATTGTGTAAAGCGCATTTGTACATCGTTTCTCAAAACATTTTCTCTCCATTTAAACCCCTGATATTAGGTCCTCATTTTTCCCCTCCCTCCCCGCTCCCCCCTCCCGCATGAGCCCTTGATAGTTTATAAATGGGTATTTTGTCATTTCTTGCCCTGTCCGACGTCCCCCTTCATCCACCCTCTGGTTGTCTGTCCCCCAGGGAGGAGGCCAGACCAAGTTTTTTTTCAATCGCCTTATATGCACATTTACCTTGGACATTGAATAAGGGAGATCAAAAAAGAGCTGATGCATTTAAATTGTGGCACAGGGGAAGAATGTTGAAAGTCCCGTGGACTGTCAAAGAACATACAAATCTATCTTGGAAGAAGTACAGCCAGAATGCTCCTTAGAGGGAAGGACAGCGAG